CAGTGTCTTCAGAGAGCGGCGGCCCCAGTCCGCGGGAGGGCCACAGGGCCTGCCGGTCTTGAGCACCTGCTGGGGCGCGATGGGGCCCACTGCGCGAGCACCAGACGACTCCTTCGGTGGGTCCACCAGCCCACCACGAGCGATGGGACGAGTGGGCACGGGACAAAACGTCAGGAACGCCAGGGCACGGGCGAGGAACAACCCTGCAGCGATGCATCCCCGATCGACCGCAGGAGACGCACCCCCCAACGCCCACGGACAAGTTTGACCTGATGGCCCCGAGGGTCAGAGACCAAGTCAAGCGGATCAAAACGGACCCTGAGCACCTTCGGACGGACAACGTCAGGAAAATCCGCAAGCGCCAGACGGTGCAGGATGCGACCCGTACAATATGCAACGTGACGGCTAGCCCACCAGGCCAAAGAGCGCCTGTGGGCCCAGTCTTCGTCCCTGGGATGAGCCCTGGCCCCTCACTTAGCGAACTCGTCCGCCAGCACGTTGCCACGAAAGTGAAGCCAGGGCACACCACGTTTCTGGGCGTCGGGGCCAGCTTTTGTGAGACGGAGCCCGGCGAACCGACACGTCGTCGGCCCGCAGGTCCTGCAACTTAAACCAAATCCGGTCCCAGACTTCGGCATAGAGACGGCTCGGGCGCACACATCGAGCCTTTCCCGCGGCCACCCCGTCGACGATCGCATGGCGGTCGGTGACGACAGTGATGGGTGCAGCCGCAAGAGGCAGGCACTGGAAAAAAACGCCCACGGCTCAGCCAGGCCTATCTCCTGCAGAGCCGCGGGGAGAGGTCCGAAACAAGCGCCTTGCGAGTTGCCATGCTGATCGACCGAGACCGCCGCCCAATCTCCTCTCGAGCAAAGCGGAAAATCGGGGTCGAGGATGTTCCCGTCAATAGCCACAGTGTTGGTGAAAACGCCTCCCGCCATCGGCCCGTCTGAAACAACAAGGCCAGACTGATCGGGGAGGCGGTTGCAAACGTAGCTTGGAATCGACAAGGCAACGGCACAGGAGAGCATCGTCCTCGGTGCACGCCGCCCCTGCCTGGGACACGGCGTCAAGACCGAGGTCGTCACGCACATTCTGGGACACATCACAACGAAACAACTTGTGCGGGGTGTCACCCGCTTCCTGGCCACAGACCTTGCAGGTCGCGGACTCAGCAGCACGCGAACGGAACAGGCGATGCTGCGTCCACAGCCCTCCAGCGACATGCGAGGTGAGGCAGGCGGTTCCCGCTTCAGACCCTTCTCGACACAGCCGGGCCTGGGCATGCTTCACGGGCTCGCGCATGGGAGGGCCTGGCAACGATTCGAGCCCTGTCGAACCCGCCAGCCCCTCCATCAGCACACGCTCGGTACCCAGGTCTACAAGCTTGCCTGACGTGCCAGGCCAAGCCTTCTACAGCTCGATCAGCGTACCCCCCCGCCATCCCCCACCAATCCCGCCCAGCCGCCCCCCAGCCTGGGCGAGACAGCGTGGCCGAGGCGGCCGAACAGGGTCCCATGACTTTGTCAGGGAGGCCTCCTCCTCCTCCTCCTCCTTCACAAACCTCGTCGACGGTCTCAGCCAGGAGTGCAGGCGGAAACCACTGCTCAAGAACCGCGCGGCCCCAAAACTCAAGCGGCAGCTTGTTGGCCGCATGAACGGGGTCCGCTTTGGGGGCCGCCGACAACACAAACTGCAGCGTGCGAGGCCGCCCCGCAGCAGGGCCAACAATAGCCGAGGCCGAGGTGGCCCTAAGACTCTCGAGGACTCTGGTGGAGACCCCCGTGACTCTGGCACCATCAAAAGCAGCGGCGGTTCCTCCAGGCTTGAATATCCTGCTCAAGCCCTTGCGAGCGGACCTAAGCAGACGAAAACAACGGACCCTACGCTTGATTGAGCCCAGCCTACGCGCCTCTGTGGCCCGATTCGGCCTGCTCAGTGAAACATCCACGCCAAGGCGTTTAACATCAGCAGCCCCTTGGAAGTTCCACGTCCGCAACCTGGCAATCAAACATTTGGAGACTTTCCTGGAAGAGGATGCAAGCTGGTACTTCTTACGAGACACCTTCAGCCCTTCGAGCTCCAGTCGGGTGCATAAGTCGACCGTGCCTCTTGCCAGCATGGGCACCACGTGGTCATCTCGCCATGTGCTAGACAGCGTGCAATCGTCTACTACCAAGTACGCGGTGAGTGCGGTCTCCCGCAGCACCTCGTCCAATATGGGCAGTGGGCAGGAAGAACCTCCTAAGCAGCGTCGTGGCGAAAGCGCAGCCCGCGATGACCCCGTGGGAACTGCGAAACGAGTCCTGGGAGATGAAGACGCCTACTTGCAAGACCCTCGGGCCCGAGCACATGATGACGAGGAGAGCCAGCCTTCGAAGGTTGAAATGGGGCTCACGGCCCCTTCGCAGAAGCCGAATGTGGGAAACCATCTCGTAGGCCTTCTGGAGGTCCACCAGTGTGCTCGCAGAGGCCTGCTGGTTGGCCTTGGCCCACTCAGCCACGAACGCATGCCGCCAAACCGCCTGCTCACAAGACCTGCCCCTGATACCGAAGGCCCAGTCCCGAGGAAATGCATTCTCCCACTGAACAGCATAGCCCCGTCGAAGAGCCCCAAGACTACGGCAGAACGTGGTAAGAATCCATATCGGTCTGCGTCCTCCTTCGGGCTTCTGCAGAAGCCCAATGATAACTTTCCAAAGCTGAAGCGGAAACGCCATCAACTCCTCGATCTTCCAGAGCACCATCCCCAGACAGGCCAGGCCCTGGTCGGTGAGCTGCTGGAGGACGTGCGGGTGTCAGCCATCAACTCCCACTGCCGTCCATCGTTTGAAGCCTCTGAGCACCTTGCGAAGCCTGTCGGGGCTGGGGGGCTCATCTATCGGAGGGAGGTCAAGCCCTTGGATGTGCGTGAGAACCTCCTGAATCCTTGACGCTTCCTCAGACGACCTCCAGCCCCAAATGGATTTCCACTCGGACTCCAGATCCATGAGGAGGGCGTCCGTCCCCGCGTCCCCGCGGGCGCTCCGTCCTGGCACTCCAAGGCCCCGTCGGGGATCCACTCGGTCGGCTGGCGCGCGATGCGATGAGCGAGCCCACCTCCGCGACGCACGGCTCGAGCCACAGTCTTTCTCCAGTCCTTGGCCCTCTGCGCGGCGAACTTGCCCTCGAGAGTGCGCGCCACTGCGGTGATGTGCTGAATGACGTCGGAGAGGTCTAGCTCGGGACCCAAGCTCCGCTCCGACAACCACGCTCGAAACGTGACCCACTCGGTGCAAGTACTTCCTCCTCCGCCCCCTCCTCCTCCTCCTCCTGCTCCTGCTCCTCCTCCTCCTCCTCCTCCTCGTCCTCCTCCTCCTCCTCCTCCTCCTCCTCCTCCTCCCCTTCCTCGTCCGCCTCCTCCTCCTCCTCCCAGAAAAAAGCCGCCGGGGCCCTCGGGCGTTTCTTGCTCGTGCCGTGCTGCGGTTCCTCTCTGCGTGGCTGGCCTGCGCGTGCCCCTCGCATGTATGCAGCAGGGGGTCCCCGGCATCCGCGGCCGCACATCCTCACGTTTGTCCTCCTCGTCCTCCTCGGCAGCACAGCGTTCATCCGAGTGGAGTCGTGCCACGACAAGAAGTTCGTCAAGCTCCAGCTCTCGATGAACAACTTCGGCCTCCGCCAGAACGTACTGGCAGCCTTCCGCTCCGAGGGGGTGGGCAAGGTGATGACAGGAGTAGCGCCCCCAGGATGGCTCGAAGAGGAGCTCGGGACGTGGGTAGACACGGTCCAACAGAAGTGAATGAGCATCACCCAGTCCTGTTTGCGCGTGGCCAGCCTCTCCCGCCCGAAGTGAATGAGCATCGTCCAGTCCTGTTTGTGTGTGGCCAGTCTCTCCTGGCCAGCGAATCTCTACGTTCACGGTGCACTCAGGATCGGAAGTCCGCCGACATCCGAAGTTCCCCTTTTTCCTGAGACCACCGTCTCGCGCCTGTTCTCAGCCTGCCAGCGCCAACACGCGCAATCGCTCGTTTAACCCTCGCCCGACAGCCAGCCGCTCAGACGCCGCTACTGTTGCACCCGAGCCAGGCAATGAGGACGTTTCAAGCCCAATGCCTTAGCTCGATCACGCCGACCTGGACGCCCAGGAGACAGAAGCCATGGATTTTCTAGGCCTCTAGCTTTGCCAGCTTGTAAGTTCGAGATGGGATGATATAAACGCGTAAGCCTTCAGCCACCAGCCGAGGCCGAGCACGCAGCAGGTTCGTCGCTCGTCGTAGCCCCCTGTTCCTCGCGTGGCGCGCCCCAGACAGGCGAGAAAGGGCAACCGTGCCCTGCGACGGGAATCCGTTTAGTGCAGTTCGCTCGCATACAATCCACAGACTGAAGCAATGTGGATTTTTGTTTCCCCCGAAGTCAATGGATGAAAAAAGTCCTCGGCAGCATCAGCACAGTTACGGTGAGTAGTGAAACGCGTTCGTCTTCATCTTCGTCCTCGGCAGCATCGGCACTGCCACGGTGATGGTGCGATCCTCGTCCCATCCTCGTCCCTCGCGGCCAGCTCGCTTCGACAGAGGCCTCGTTCGCGGGCCCGCGTGTGCTCGCCCCGGCAGGCTGGCGCCTTGCGGCACCAGCTCTCGAGGGTGTGCCAGAGGGCCCACGCCCTCAACGGAAGCAAAACCACGCGGACCCGATAACCGGCGCTTGCTAAACTGCCCTGGGCGTGTACTGAGCAGCCCTGCCCTGTTCGATTCCTTCTCTGGGTGCGTTTACTAAACGGCCTTGCTTGTCGGGGTGGCTTTTACGGGGGTGGATGTTTTGCCCTCTGCTCCCTGGGCTTGTGTGCAGTTCCACTTTGAAGCGCACTTCTGTGTCCGAGGGCGAAGGGGAGCCCATCCAGGCGGACCGGCGCTCCAGTAGAGGATGCAGGTCAGGGCATCAGTCACGACCATGGGGAAGGAGGAGGAGGAGGAGGAAGAGGAGGCGGAAGAACATGGGGGACGTTGGCGATGATAGCGACTATCTCAATGCTTTTTCAGAAGTACACTCATTTTCGAATTTGTTCCGGGGGTAATCTTTGATTTCTGCACAAGTCCGGAACCAGCGGATCTGTCATGACGGGTTCTGGAAGAGATGCAGAGAAGAACATCATGTGATTTGTTTGTTTATAGGATTATTTGAGCAGCGTCGCGGGGAATATGAAGGAAATACTTGGCTGATGGCTTGCTTAAGTAACTGTTCAAAAATAACGTGATTTCCTGCATTTTAACAACAAATCTCGTAAGTCACGTGTCTCGGTCTTGTCGTCCTTTTCTTCACCCTCAGAGATCTGACGCTCCGCAAAAGGATATTGTCATGTTCGGCCTCTGGAGGCTTAAAGGCACCCGGCGCGTTTTGTGTGAATCATTACCTAACAGCGAAGACTGATAGGTTTCTAGTAGGCTCAAAAGAGAGCATCATGACTCCTCAGGGGGGTCGGGGCGGGACCCGGGGCGGCTGCCGTCGAAGCCCAAATCGCCTGGGACATCCTCGCAAAATCGCTCTTGGCGCTGCTAGAACTCCATTCCCGGCGTACATTTTGGATGCCCGGAGCCAACTGTAGGCCACTTCGTGGTCTTCGAGTTCCCAGAACTCCATTCCCGGGTACATTTTGGATGCCCGGAGCCAACTGTAGGCCACTTCGTGGTCTTCGAGTTCCCAGAACTCCATTCCCGGGCACATTTTGGATGCCCGGAGCCAACTGTAGGCCACTTCGTGGTCTTCGAGTTCCCAGAACTCCATTCCCGGGCCACATTTTGGATGCCCGGAGCCAACTGTAGGCCACTTCGTGGTCTTCGAGTTCCCAGAACTCCACTCCCGGGCCACATTTTGGATGTCCGGAGCCAACTGTAGGCCACTTCGTGGTCTTCGAGTTCCCAGAACTCCATTCCCGGGTACATTTTGGATGCCCGGAGCCAACTGTAGGCCACTTCGTGGTCTTCGAGTTCCCAGAATTCCATTCCTGAGGCAGGCTGAGGCTGAGGCTCAAGCAGGCTGAGGCTGAGGCAGGCTGAGGCTGAGGCTGAGGCTGAGGCAGGGTGAGGCTGAGGCAGGCTGAGGCTGAGGCCGAGGCTGAAGGCAGACTGAGGCTGAGGCTGAAGCAGGCTGAGGCTGCGGCTGAGGCAGGCTGAGGCTGACGCTGAGGCAGGCTGAGGCTGAGGCAGGCTGAGGCTGAGGCTGAGGCTGATGCAGGCTGAGGCTGAGGCAGGCTGAGGCTGAGGCCGAGGCTGAAGGCAAACTGAGGCTGAAGAGGCTGAAGCAGGCTGAGGCTGAGGCTGAGGCAGGCTGAGGCTGAGGCAGGCTGAGGCTGAGGCTGAGGCTGAGGCTGAGGCTGACGCAGGCTGAGGCTGAGGCAGGCTGAGGCTGAGGCCGAGGCTGAAGGCAGACTGAGGCTGAGGCTGAAGCAGGCTGAGGCTGAGGCTGAGGCAGGCTGAGGCTGAGGCTGAGGCAGGCTGATGCTGAGGCAGGCTGAGGCTGAGGCTGAGGCTGATGCAGGCTGAGGCTGAGGCAGGCTGAGGCTGAGGCCGAGGCTGAAGGCAGACTGAGGCCGAGGCTGAAGCAGGCTGAGGCTGAGGCTGAGGCAGGCTGAGGCTGAGGCTGAGGCAGGCTGATGCTGAGGCTGAGGCTGAGGCTGAGGCTGAGGCTGATGCAGGCTGAGGCTGAGGCAGGCTGAGGCTGAGGCCGAGGCTGAAGGCAGGCTGAGGCTGAGGCTGAGGCTGAGGCAGGCTGAGGCTGAGGCTGAGGCAGGCTGAGGCTGAGGCTGTGACTGCGACTGCCGTTGCCACTGCGACTTTCATCGCGAATGCGACTGCGACTGCGAGAACAGCAGAATTCTACAACTGGATTATCATGTGAATCTTAAGGGAACTGCTTCCAGATATGCTCCTACACATCGCTGTTAGGTTGCTTTGCCGGGATAATTTTTGATAATGAAGGTTGTTGTTTGCCAAGCCTGTGCAGATCAGTTCGTTGTATCAATGTTGTGGTAAACGTGAATAATATTAGTTTGAGCGTCTGAGATGTGATTGACTGCAGTTGTGCGTATGCTTGAAAAGCGTTGGAACTCATACATGTGAGTTCGTGTTTTTGTTCAGAGTTTGGGTAACGCACTGCAAAACATTGTTGTTCATAAGTGCTTTGGGACGTTTAAGCAATATGCATGTTGATGTATGAGGTGACTTGTTGGTAGCGTTTACATGAGCAGTGCTCGTTATAATGTCATAATGCTGGAAAGTTACATATACTTGAAGATTGTGCATGGTTCCTTTTCAAGTGTGGAATTTCGTGTATCCCTTCCTTCTCCTTTCTCCTATCCGCGACCTTTCTGCTCTTCCTTCTGTCTACGTCTAGCGTGTACAGACGGCAGTCCAGGGACTCTGCGAATTACGGCTGGGTCAGACGAGGTGAATTTCGATTGCACCCGGCCATAACGGGCTATATTTCATGTCGTCTTCCGGTGGAATGTGCTGGATGTGATCAATTGTGTTCATTGCTTCGTGTCAGATAGTAGCAACTTGCTGCGTAAGCAATCGGGCTCATCACCTGTTCCGTTGCATTGGTGGCCCTTTGGCGTCGGATCTTACCATTGAGACGCAGCTTTCCCGACGCCTCAACTTATTTGCCCGTGTGCTGCTGCTGCTGCTGCGCGAGAAGGAAGTGAAGTAGGAGAAGGAGAGCCGGTCGTGAGGCAGCGGGAGGAGCAGCACGAGCAGCAGCCGCGAGTCGGCTTGACTCGGCCGCTGCACCAGCAGGGCCCCGCCAGGATCCCCAGGGCCTCCCAGGGCCCGGCCTCCAGAGCTCCCCAGCCGACCAACTTCCTTCCTCCTCCTCCTCCTCCTCCTCCTCCTCCTCCTCCTCCTCCTGCCCCTCCTCCTCCCCCCTCCTCCGCATCCCCCTCCTCCGCCTTCTGCTCCTCTGCCTATTCCTGCTCCTACTCGTCCTCGTCGTCGTCGTCGTCCTCCTCCTCCAGGAGCTCCATGCCCTTCCAGGGCCGAGCCTCCAGAGTTCCCCACCCCGGGGAGCTCTGGAGGCTCGGCTCAGGAGGCCAGGGGGCTCCTGAAGGGCCCTTAACCCAGACCTCCTCGAGTCCTGAAAAAAACACGACGGGAGGTTTTTCGCTATTTTCGGCCTCTGAGGGCCCTTACCGGGCCTCGGGACCGTCAAAAAACGACTCGGGATGAAAAACTGGTCCCGGGGAATGGGTCTGGACCTCTGGGGGTCGCGTCATGAAAAAATCATGACGTCGGGGGTCTGGGAAGCAAGCGAGCCCTGGTCGGCTGGGGTCCTTCAGGAGTTCCCCAGGGCCCCTCGGGAGCTCCAGGGCCGTCCAGGGCGGGCCCTGGGGGCCCGCGCACCTTCTTGGCTGCGCCAGGGTTTCCACGGCTTTCCAGGCTCCAGCCCCCAGGGATCCCCATTTGACCAGGGCTCGTTGGCACAAGGGCCCAGCAGCCAGGATCTCCAGGGCCTTTCAGGGCCTCCTAGCCGCCAGAGGTTCCCAGGCCGAGAAGCCCCCACCCCCAAAAAAACAACAACAACAACAAAAAACAGCTGACCCGACAGGGTTTTCTCGGGCCTTCCAATGCCTAGTCTCCGGAGCTCCCCAGGGCAGGACTTTTTGGAATCACCCTCAGAGGGTCAGCGGTCGCTTGCCGAGTCTCCTGTTTTCGGTGAAGTTGTACGCTGGCTGAGACCATCAAGAAGATGGTGTTCAAGAGCAAGATAGCTTCTTGTGTCCAGGGCGGAATGCAACTGTTGCACGGACAGGATAGGCTGTTCGAGAAGGCCTGGCGCAAATTTGCGGTTAAGGAGGAGGAGCGCCTGGACATTGAATGCGAAGCCGAGCGGCAGCACCAGGCGGGAAAGCTCTTGCGCCGTGCCAGGCGCGATGAGAACGTACCCAAAAACCTTTCCGACGATGAAGTGCTCGAGTGGCCCCCCGAAGATTTGCAGCGTTCGAGGGGGAGGGCGACGAAGAGCCTGGCAGGGACGTGGATGTCGCCGTCGGCAACGAGCCCGAGTCGTCGACTGACGAGCTTTTCCTGGACCCGCCTTCTACTGGGGCAGACGCGGGGATCATCAGTAGCGCCGAGATGCCAGTGCTGGAGCACGATGTCATCGACGTCGATTCGGGTGCGCCCGCAGGGATCGCCACATTGCCTCCGCCTTCGCCCTCTGCAGCCACGTAGACTAAGCGATTGACGCAGCGCTCCGCTGCAGTGCGGATCGCGCGTGGAGATCGCGGGCCTGAATCTCATGAGCCTTCGAAGGGCCCGACGCCCGATCAAATCACTGCGCCCGCCGGTCTGCTCCACGCGTTGCCTGAATTGGCGCGCGCCGAGAGTCCAGCTGCCTGCGCGCCGTCAGCCGCCGCCAGCCCCGCCCAGAGCCGTGGCAGGGTGGCGCTGGCTTCGGCCGAGGCTCTTCCGGTTTCGCCTCCGCACCGCAGAGGCAGCGTGAGTCCGGAGCGGGTTTCTGAGAGGGCTGGTTGGGCGTTGCGTAATGGAGGGGTCATAAATGGGGGGGTGTCGCGGGTGGTCCGAAAAGGTACCCAAACGGTACCTAAACGAGCCCCCTGGGGCTCCAGAGGGGCCCGAAAGGGGCACGAAAGGGGACCGTTTCTGACCCCCCCATTTATGACCCCCCCACTAAGCCACGCCCAAGCTGGAGCCGTTCCGCTGCGCCCGCCAACGTCTTTGAGGTTCGGTTCCGCGCCGCCAGGCCGCCAGGCCGCCCGCGGTCGTGACTCCTTCTGCGGTTGCCAATCCGCTAGAGCAGGCTGCCGTTCAGCCCTTCCGGCCAGGTGCGTCGTACCTGCGAGCAGCATTTCGTCGTGACCTTCGCGCGGGCGTAATGTCTGCGCTCTCCGGTTGAATCTGCCTAGTTCTACCCCGCGTAGACAACCAGGCAATTCCTGCACATACTCTTCGGTTGAACGGCCCCAGCAATCACAACGAAGACAACGAGGCGCGCTTATATTTCAGTTACCTGGCTTCTCATCGATGTCATTGTTCTGTATGGTAAACTCAATATCGGGCGATAGAGCCATTGTCCCAGAATTACTCTGGATGATGCGGTAGTGCAGTCACGGTATTATCGACAGTTCCGATTCCCTTCAGATGATAATTCTCCGAGTAAGAGATAGAGAGTCCGTAGATAAGATGAGAGATTGGTCATTGTAGATGTTCGCTGTTCGACGAGAGGCCGCCGATTTCAGATGGGATGCCGTCGATTTCAGATCTTACTTACCATACTAAACTATGTTCTCTTTCTAGACTCCCCTCTCCTGCTAAATTTTCCTCTTCTGCTAAAGTATCTCCTCTTGCTCAATGTGTGTTGTCCTGCAAATGTTGTCTCTCTTGCGAAAGTATCCTGTCCTGTTTTTTTATCCTGCTCAGTTCGCCCTAGATAGTCTTTGAAATTTTGATATTGTTTCCAATCGCATGTTCAAGTGAGTGATATTTCTATCTTGGTGACGAACCCAACCATTTGCAGTTGTGAGCACCGCAATTCGCAAAATCTTCTTCGGTGGCGATCATGATGGGGCCACGAACCGCGCGAGGGGCGCGCCGAAATGGGTGGCGCGGACGCATGTGGACACCGCCATTGGGGCCTTCGGCGGAGCTCGTTATGGGGCCGCGAAGCGCGCGAGGCGTGCGCCGACATGGGTGGCGCGGACGCATGTGGACACCGACATTGGGTCTTTTGATGGAGCCCTCTACGGAGCCACGAAGCGTCTGATGGTGTGCGCCGACATGGGTGGCGCGGACGCATGTGGACACCGCCACCGGGGCCTTCGATGGAGCTCCCTATGGGGCCACGAAACGTGTGAAGGGCGTGCAGAAAATTGGTGGCGCGGACGCATGCGGACACCGCCCACGAGGGCCTTCGGTGGGACTGTCTATGGGGCCAGGAAGCGTGTGAGGGGTGTGCCGGAATTGGTGGCGCGGGCGCAAGTGGACACCGCCACTGGGGTCTTCGGTGAAGCTCCTTATGGGGCGACGATTCTCGCGAGGGGCGCGCCGAAATTGTTGACGCGGGCACAAGTGGACACCGCCACTGGTGCCTTCGGTGGAGCTCCCTATGTGGCCACGAATCGTTCGATGGGCGTGCCAAAATGGGTGGCGCGGACGCATGCGGACATCGCCACTGGGGCCTTCGGTGGAGCTCCCATGGGGCCACGAAACGTGTGAAGGGTTGTGCCGACATGGGTGGCGCGGACGCATGTGGACACCGCCGTTGGGGCCTTCGGTGGCGCTTCCCATGGGGCCACGAAGCGTGTGAGGGTTGTGCCGACATGGGTGGCGCGAGCGCACGTTGCCACCGCCACTGGGGCCTTCGGTGGAGCTCGCTATGGGGCTACGAAGCGTGTGACGGGTGTGCCGAAATTTATGGCGACGATGGTGATGATGACGGCGATGATGACGACGACGATGGTGATGATGACGATGACGATGATGAGGATGGTGACGATGGTGATGATGACGGCGATGCTGCTGATGATGACGATGATGATGGTGGGAGGAGGTGGGCAGGGAAGGAGGAATGAAGGAGTGGACGCGGGGCGCTCTCTTTTCAAAACCAAGGCCCAAGACCACAGGATGGTTGGGAATGAATACGTTTATCAGTATTTTAATACATCGACAAATGAATGAATGAATACGTAGTTCGAGTTATCATTGTAATATTGCCTGGATGTGGTCGGTTGCTCTTGGCCTTGAGTTGTTTTTGCAAATTGCGCATGCAAAGGGCAATTGAATGCTGGAACACAAGATTATGATTTAATGTCACTGGGAATGCGCGGAGGGATACATCAACAGTGTGTGTATATATATTTATACACATCCGTGACAAAAGTTTCTTCAACTTGCTATGATGAAGATTTCTCCCATCTCTCTCAATATTCCTAACATGACATGATGCTGGGATCATTCGGCGGAGTAGTTTCCGATCCCAGAGACGTTAATATTTTTGTTACCCCCACACAGGATCGGAAACTATTCAGCGCCAAACCATATAAATTGCCGAGCGGGATGCGATTGCGCGCGGAGTAGTTTTAGTAGAACTACCCCGAACTACTCCGCACGAGCGCGTCATCCCAAAGGGCAAATTGAAAGAAACTTTCGTCACGGCGATGTATACCTATATCTATATATATGTATGATTTGCACGGCTTCGCGCCCTGTTTTCCATTTAAATTTGAAGGTGCCGGATTTGAATCAATGCTGAGTATGTATGCGGTTTCGCGCTCCGCTCACTCATGTTATCAGTGTGTCTGCGAGCACGTGGCGGAAATTCGAAACGAATTATGAATAGCATGGACAAATTCATGGTGTGATTCGAGGGAGTTTGTTTGAGTTCGCGTCGCCTTGGCCCCAAAGGCGCGCGGAGGTGAGCCCGCAAAATCGAGCCCTCTGACGCCTCTTACAGGAATCCTGACTCGGGATTCGCCGCACAGGCGTCGGAAATGCATTCCAAACGATGCGCACAAGGAGGAGGAGGAGGAGGCAGGGAAGAGGAGGAGGAGGAGGAGGAAAGTGGGGCGGAAGCTTCCAGCTCAGAGAGGTCGGGCGGATACCACAAAGGTGTTTGGCGGAAACAGCGCTGGCAAAGTGGAGCGGACATCGGCATCAAAGGAGCTTGAAAAGCAGGGCAGACATTTCCGCCCTACTTGCCGAAATTGTCAAAAGTATTTGGCGTCCGAAGTCAAGGCCAAGGCGCGAGGAAATGAACTCCCCAAACCGCGTTTCCTGACACCAGTTACGGGCAGGGCGGGGAGGACGGGGAACCCTCGCGGGAGTTCTTCGCGACATCGGCGCTTGGAAGGGCCTGCGTGTCAGGGGGGGCACCCTAGCCAAGAAGGCTCCAGCGGGGGGGGGAGGGAGAGGGGAAGTGCTCGGGAGGGTTCGAGGTCCGAGGTTTTCGGACGTCTTCGTCGGTGCTCGGCGGTCTTCCGGCCTCGGGATGCCTTCCAGCCACTGCGCCTCGTCGAGAGCGTTCTGGGGGGGCCGGGATCGTCCCGAACGCCCGCCAGAGCCGACCAGAACATCACCAGGCGCCAAAGAGGCCAGGGGGGTGTCTCGGGGGCACGAACGGGTCCAAGACCCCGGGGCTTTCCCCGAGCGCCCCGAAGGGGCGACAGACCTTCAGGACCCGCTTCCCTCAGGACCCGGCGGTGAAATCCGTACCCTACCCTCGCCGATCAACGATTCTGGCAATCCGATGGGCGGTGGCAGCAGGGTTCGGAATTCGTCGAACACGTGTCGAAGTCTGAGCCCTACCCCCTCTTCCCATCGATTGAGGAGAATCGATGTTTGGTGGGGATGGCGCTCGGATGTCGCCACTGAAGGACTTCCCTGGCTTCGGATCCGCGTGCTCCGACCTAGGTCAGGACCTCCCTCTTCGACGTTGGAGGGGGCGCCTGGGGGAGAGGCGGGGGCGCGTGAGGGTTGGGCAAGCGGGTCCATGCTCTATCATATCTAGCTGCCAATCAGCCGAAGAGCGGCGGACCATCAATGACGACGTCGATGAAGAGGAGGAGAAATAGAGGGGGAGCAAGAGTGAGGATAAGGAGGATAATGAACAGGAGGATGAGGATGAGGATGAGGAAAAAGAAGAAGAGGAGGAGGAGTAGTCGTAGGAGGAAGAGGAGGATGAGGAGGAGGAGGAGGAGGGTAAGGACAAGGAAGAGGGCAAGATGGGCGGGCAGAGGAGGAGACCGACCAGTGCCTTGGCATTTTCTTCGGCCCCTTCCGACAGGTGCTTGAACAGTTTCTTCGGCCCCCTGATAGACATCATATGCAGCTTCGGCGGGGACGTGTTGAAGTTCAGCGGCGACGCCATCACAGTTCTGTGGCCCGCGCCTCAGACGGTGGAGGAGGGGTAAGGGAGAAGGAAGAGGAGAAGCACGAGGAGGAGGACGAGTAGAAGTAGGAGGAGGAGGAGGAGGAGGAGGAGGAGGGAGAGGAGGAGGAGGAGGAAGAGGAGCAGGCGCAGGAGGAGGAGGAGGAGGAGGAGGAGAGGGTGCCCCAGTGTTCTTCGTGCTTGTTGGATGCTCTTGTGCGTCCTGGGGAGGGTGCCCTTATGATGTTCTGTATGTGTTGGCCGGCGAAGGGTCTCATGTTTTTGGTAGATGTTCTTCCGGCCTAGGTCCGACTGTAGGTTTCATACCCACAACCCAAGCACGGTGGCGGGATGTGCCGAATGCCATTCGATGGGCTTTTTTCTTCGAGCTTCGAGGAGTGTATCATATCCCGAACTGGGGTGCTGGGATGGTGGGGATCGGACTTGGGATGGACATGGTGATAGGGATCGGTCAAGCAGTGGGGGAGCCTCCTGTTTTGCCTATAGTCCCGAAGAATGTTACGAGAGCCTCTCGTGGTGTGCATTTCTGGCTGAGACTGTCTTGTTTTACCACATCGGGCTATGTCTCTGAGATCAGTGTTTTTGTAATCAGAACGCTTCTTGATTCTAAGATGATTTCGTGGTAGGCCTATAGGAATGCCGGGACGGTCGGTCCCTGCCCGACCGTGGGGAGAACCCAGCAGAGCGGACCGAGGCAAACCATGAGGAAACCAAGAAATTCCGATACGGGTACTCCCCAGATCTCTCCATGGGTGCGTGCGTTCTGACCTGGATTTCGAGGCGAATCCAGCGGTGGCGACGATGGACCCCCAGGAGGCCCCCCCAGGGGGGAAACCAGGGGAAGGTGAATTAGCGGTATGGCTACCTCTTCTTCACCCAAAGAGCGGCACCGCCCTCGGCCGGGCCCTCGCGGCTTCCTCCTCCTCCTCCTCCTCCTCCTCCTCCTCTTCTTCCTCCTCCTCCTCCTCCTCCTCCTCTTCCTCTTTTCGTCTTCCTCGTCATCCTTTACGTCCTCGTCCTCTTCCTTGTCCTCCTCGTCCTCGCCTTTGCCCTCCACCTCCTCCCCCTCCTCCTCCTCCTCCTCCTCCTCCTCTTCCTCCTCCTCCTCTCCCTCTCCTCCTCCTC